GTATACATAGATGAATAAATCTTAAAAAAAAAAAAAAAAAAGGCTGTTTTCTACCTGAGGTTTGACTGGTCATTTTCTTTTCTTGGGGACCTTGTCTGATCTGACAGAAACAGAATTCGAAGTGGCAAAGTGGCTAAGGAGTGATGACATCAGGACAGAGCCAGACAGTCCCAAATTTGTCCCCTGGAAGTGTTACTACCTCTTCCCCCCTTTTGATTCCCCTTCAACCTGCCCCATCCAGCACTCCTCTCTAGTCCCTGCTCTCCCTTCCCAGTCAGGCCTTAGCCACTTCATCAGGATTCTAATCTTCCTCCCCACTCCCTTCCTGTCCCCCCTCCTTTGCTCCCCCTTACCTTGCCCCTCCTCTCTCACCATCACCTCACCTTCACGACCCCATTTTCTTGCTACCCTCCCTCCCAGCCTGGTGCTCCCAGCAAGAGCCAACACACTCACCCCCTGCTGGCTCCTCCGAAACCCGCCCACCTGGATAGCATGAGCAATGTGTTCTGGGGCCTCAGGCCTTTGAGGATGAGCTGTAAAACAGGATGAGTGCTTCCGCTTGACTCGGTGCCAAGCTTAATTGGGGAGAAGCACTTCACCTCTAACGTGCTCGACTTGCCTGACAAAAGGGCAGCCGAAACCCTGCCCTGCTCTGCCCACCTGAGGGAGGGCATGTCTGCTCTTGTCTGAGAGCCTGACAGTGCCACAGCCTTGTCAGCCTGCACAGTGGTGAAAGGCATCCAGTGCAGGTCTGGTCTGGACAGAGAGGGGCCACCCGAAGTCCCGAATGGAGGAAGCCTTGGTCAAGCCAAAAGGTCAGTGGGTCAGTGCAAAGCCCAGGCCTAGGCTCCCATTCTGGAATCACCACTGTGTGGCCATAGAGAAAACACTTCCTTTCTTCTCAGAGCACCAGCTCCTCCTTGGCAGGTGGGGTAGAACTCCCCTTGTGAGGGCGTTGTTGGGTGAGGAAAGCAAGTGTTGAAAGCAAGGAGAGGCACCACCTGGCCTTAACTACGTTGCTTGTCATACTCCTTCCTTCTGGAGACTTCTCAGAGAACTGGTTTCTCTTTCCCTATTGATAAAGGAGTAACCCCTGGGAACAGTCCTGAGCTAGGAACTGGGGGAAAGACATATGTCTGCATAACTATAGCCATTCCTCTTCTCCTTTTCCTTCTCTACCATGGGGGGGAGGGGAGAGGGGTGGTCTCCATGATCCTGCCACTCTTTGCTGACCCTCCCTCCTCCCTAATATTTTCTCTGTGCATGTTCTGTTGTGGAGTACCATAAATATATGGCCCACAGCTCCCCCTGAGTCCTCAAGTCCTCTCTCCATTCCAAAATTCTGGCTCCCACAACTGACAGGCCCCACTTCTCCTTGGCTGGGTGTTCCTTCTTCACATTTCCATGAGATTGCCTCTGCATGTCACCGTGCCACATTGTCGGCCACCAGCCAGGGGTGGCCCTGGCTAAGCCAGCAGTGGAAAAAGGGAGGGACCAGACAAGTCTGCCTCAGCCAACTGTTCAGCAGATGCTGTGGGAGGGCACTTTTCCCCAGAGGCCTGGGACTGGTCCCTGATTGACATCTCTCCCTGCAAGGAGTCCCTACTTTAGATGAAGGGACCCAAGTTACAATGAAGGGCAGCAGCTTGTTGAGAGACCACTTCCAGTGCTTGCCAAGTTCCAGGGGGCACAGAGCTTTTCCATTCACTCCAGTGGAGGCTGAGTTAACCTTCTACTGTCCCTAAATAAGCAGGCTGTGGCAATTTGTGCTTTCTTATTTGGCAATAACAGCATTTGACAAAGCATCTGGGTCAATAGGAAAAATGAGCTCATTCTAGAGCTAATTAAAGTGCTAAATCAGATTCTAAGCAGCTAAGATTAGGCCAGTTGCTGGAGATCTTTTGTGCACAAGGCTTGTGCAAAGGCCCTGATCAACCAGGGTGCATACTGAGCACCCACTGTGAGTACTGCGCATCTAACAGGGGACTCAGTACTGTGAAGCATGAATATAAAGCACTGCCCTTGAGGGCCTTCTGATTTAGTTTTTTTTTTTTTTAATTTTTTTAATAAATTTTATTTTTATATTCCCCATACAATTGCAGCCCCCTTATTTTGACCCCAATCCCTCCCCTCCCCGCCCTCCACCCCCTATAAAGTGTCTCTGGTTCATAGTTTTTTGTTGATTTTGATTTTCACTTTCTTATAGTTATTTATTATCCTGGTCCCTTATTTAAGTTTTCTAGATTCCTGCTATGAGTGAGACCATCCGGTATTTTTCTTTTTCTTTTTGGCTTATTTCACTGAGCATGATCCCTTCCAGCGCCATTCATGTTGCTGCAAATGGCATGTGTTTATCTTTTTTGAATGCTGAGTAATATTCCATGGTATATATGTACCACATCTTCTTGATCCAGTCATCTATTTTTGGGCATTTGGGCTGTTTCCAAAGCTTAGCTATTGTAAACAGTGCTGCTATAAACATAGGGGTGCAGGTGTTCTTTGGAATTGATGTTTCTGTGTCCTTTGGGTAAATACCTAGGAGTGGAATTGCTGGATCATATGGAAGTTCTATGTTTAGTAGGTCCAGAAATCTCCACACAGCTCTCCATAGTGGTTGGACCAGTTTGCACTCCCACCAACAGTGCAGGAGAGTTCCTTTTTCTCCACACCCTCGCCAACATTTGTTGTTGCTAGTTTTTTTTAATATGTGCCATTCTCACTGGTGTAAGATGGTATCATGGTAGTTTTGATTTGCATTTCCCTGATTACAAGTGATGTTGAACATTTTTTCATATGCCTGTTGGCCATTTTTTTAAAGATTTATTTATTTATACAAGAGCTGCAGTACAGACCAGAGGCCCGGGAGGGTGAGAGGATTTCCAGAGACAGAGTGGGGAACAGAACAGGCTGGCGGACCAAAACACACTGCTGAGGGGAGCAGCAAGCGAGACAGGAGAGGTCTGCTGTGCCATGTAGCTATCTCCCTGGCCAGCCGGGAATCGAACCTGCGCTGCAGAGGCTGCAGACAGCTTCACAGCATGGCACTCAACCCACTGTGCCACCGGGGAGGCCCTCTTCTGATTTAGTTATAAGGACAGAATATCAGAATTTCTTGAGGAAACCTCTGTGTGATACAAGAAGGAGAAACTCCAGGGGCATGGGCAGGGGTGAGAGTAAAGGGGGACAGACGACACGCTGGCACAGTGGGAGAAAGCTGAGCCCTACAGGAGGTGGCCTTTCCCAGTCCAAGCCCTCTTGCAGGCTACTAATCTCATGAATTCTATGTGATGGAATTTGGTGATGGTGAGTGGCCATGGTGGTGCTTGAAAACTAAGGATGTTCATCTGCTGTGTTTTAGGGACACCAAGAGAAAGAGGAACTACAAGAAAGAGGGAGTCAATTTCATTCCCCACTTCACTTCCCACCCTCACCTGATCTCAGGAAGGGATTTTCTGCTTACTGCTGTGAACCTCAGAGTGTTCCACAAGAGCTGCAGACTCCAGGAAAGGCCTAGAGTCACAGACATAGATTATGGAACCACAAACACCCTGCTCTGGACACGCAGGCTTGGAAGACATTACATACTCAGAAAGCAGTTTCCTGAGTCATTTCATTGAATGATACAAGAACTCCCCACACTATATCCTGCTATTAACCCCATTTTACAGACACAGGGAATGGAGTACAGGGAGACTGGAAATTTGTGGTGGCTGCGTGGCTGCTCGCTGGTGTTAGTGAGCACCAACCCGGTAGGTTAATCTAGAAAGTCTGCTCTTCCTCTGCACATTAGCCCTCCAGGACGGTCCTCAACCTCTTACAGCACCTGGATCCTGCTACCTGCCGCACGAAAGTCAAAACTTGAGAGACAAGTGTTGGTGGGAACAAATCAGTATATTCAGGAGCCAGAACCTGAAAAGATGGTGACTATTGCCTGATAATCACCCCCCATCTTTGGTCAGAGGGCTTTAAAGGGACAGGGGCTGTGTGGGATGTGTGGGTCCTGTGGCCTATTTTGATGTTATCTTGACTCGTGGCCATGGGGTGAGTGGGCTGCCTCAGTTGTCAAGAGAAAATGCTAGTGATACACCACAGGTCTCCATCTTGGTCTCAGCCTGGTTTTCTGTAGTTCGGCCTTTTTTTTTTTTTTTTTTTTTTTAAAGATTTATTTATTTATTTATACAAACACTGGGTACAGTCAGAAGCGTGGGAGGGTAAGAGGATTCACCAGAGCCAGAGCAGGGAACAGAACAGGCAGACTGACGAAATACACTGCTGAGGAGCAGTGGGCACGGCAGGAGAAGTCTGAGCGCCATGTGGGACCCTCGCCAGTGGCCGGGGAACAAACCGGCGCTGCAGAGGTCGCAGGCAGCTTTGCAACCCAGTGCTCAACAACTGCACCACCAGCGGAAGCCCTCTGTAGTTCTGTCTTGAGGGAAAAAAAACAAAAATGAAGAATTTAGGGTTACAGGCCTGGTGAGCATCACCCAAGTTGGGCCAAATTGTACTATAACACCCACCTCTCTCATTCTCTCCAAACCTTCATGGGGATTATGCCCAATCACCATGGCCCAGAGTAGTGCCTTGTTCAAAAGGAGCCCAGGAACTTGGTGAGGGGAGGCAAGCTGGCAGGTTTGAACTACCCAAGAAAGTGTGGCAGCCAAGAAGCTTCCTAGTCCAGTGCATCCAGGCCTTTCAAATAAGTCACTCAAAAAATGTCTCTGCATCTGAAATTTCCATCAAGACATTTGTCACCTGGGTAATGCGTCCACCTAAAGAAAAAAGATTTATATTTTATCATGATGTATTTTAAGAGACTAAGTCTAGGAATGTTTGTGTCAAACCCTGTTTGGAAAGATGCAAGAGATAAATACATTTCAATAGGAAAATCACAAAAATCCAGGAGGAGGAAGAATAACAATGTCTTGTCTTGTTATAACACATGATGGCTACTCCTGTTGTTGATTTTGGAATTTAAAGGAAAAAACACATCTCCAGAGTCTCTGTTTTGTTTTGTTTTGTTTTTTTTTTTTAAGGGAACAATCCTTTATGATCAATATCATGCAGGGAGGTCTTGGTCCACGGCACCAGCACATATGACTTTGTCTTCCAGTCACCACGCTGCAGTCCCCAGGGCTTCAGGCTCCCCGCACAGGTGAAGGAGCTTGCACTGACAGGTGGTGGGTGCAAGGTGACACATTATTCCATCAGAGGATTGGTGCCCCTTTGCTGTTCTTGCCCTGTTTTTAAGGGGGAATAAATGGGTAAAATAAGCTCTTCAGTCCCAAACTCAGCCAGTTACCAGATGTTCATCTGAGCACAAGCTCAGCGGCAGGAACAGCTCATGCTAAACGTCAGCCTTCTGCCACCCACGCTTGTTTATTCCCTTTTCCAGGCCAATGGGTACCCCAGAGAAGGGAGAATGAGAAGAGAAGGGAGAATGAGAAGCAGAGGAGAACCGGGGAAAGGAGCCAGGAGAACCATCAGGCTGTTTCAGCTTTGTGGACAGTATGACCTCCCTTTTAGATTATATCAACATCCAGAAATAAAAGCTTATCAGACTGGTGATTGTCTGATAAGGAGTAATACATATTTAGGAAAACTATCCTTAAGGAGTTAAATTTACCAATCAGTTGAAAATTCAATGAGATTTACAAAGGCTGTGTCTACACACGAGAGTTATACTTGAAACAAGGCCTTCTTACATATTCTTCACTCTTACCTGCCATTCCACATCACACAAGGAAGCCACCCCTGAAATAAGGCTACTGTAACAGAAGGGGGCACCCTCAGGAGACCCAAAAAGTGTACATGCAAGTGGGCACCTGTGTGGATGTTTATGTACATGTTTGCATATGAAAAAGAGTGGGCTTCTGGGATTCAAGACATGTAATATAGAATACTCCTCGGACCATTGCTCTGTGGAGACAAAGTGTGAGCTTTGTCACAATTTCCTCTTAAATTCTTTATTTCCTAGGGCCTCCCTTGTGGCGCAGGCAGTTGAGCACCGCAGCATGAAGCTGTCCACAGCCTCTGCAGCACGGGTTCAATCCCGGCCGGCCGGTGAGAATCCCACATGGTGCACAGACCTCTCCTGCCACACCCGCTGCTCCCCTCAGCAGTATATTTCATCAGTCTGCCTGTTCTGTTCCCTGCTGTGTCTCTGGTGATCCTCTCACCCTCTCGCGCATCTGGCCTATACCCCGATTCTTGTATAAATAAATCTATCTTTAAAAAATATTCTTTATTTCCTAAATTCTTTCTTGCATCTTTAACTGTAAAATTTGACTCAAAATACCAACTTGGTTACAGATTTCTCTGACATAGGTTGTGAATCATCCAGGGAGACAATGTCTGCAAAGTTCTGCAAATATCCCCAGAGGCAAACACACATATTTTTTGGTAATATTTCCAGGTAAGTAATTTTCTACAAAACCAAAAGTGACTAGGTTCCTACATACCAGCCTCTGTATATCGAGTCATCAGAAATCATCGATGGGGAGTATAAGAAGCAGCTGTTTTCAAGTGCACCAACTGCTCTACCCCAAACTATGCCTCCTGAGTCCCAGAATTTAAGGGGGAATCTGTAAGTTACTGTGTTGGTCACTCACAAATAAATGCAGTCAATTGACTGCAAAGATGCAGTCAATGTGTTTAGATTCTCCTTCTCCTCTGGCCTCTCCTCCCTCTCCCAACTGACCCCGAATCAAAGGGAAACCCTTCTTTCTCCTGTGGAATGGCACCCAGTCATTCCACTGTCTTTGTGCCTCCTTCCACCTCCCATCCCTGCCCTTGATGGTCCAAGACACATGCATTCCCCAGCAGCTCTGCCTCACCTGGAGTGCACTGTAGCATAAGACAAAGTTGCTGTTGCCTGGAAAGTGTTTTGAGCTTTCAGTAGCTTCCATCATCACATGGTACTAGTTGGCTGAGCAATGAAGTGTTAGAGAAATGACCTGTGTGATTCAGACCATGTGTATGTCTGTTCCCTGTACTGCCCCTCCTTCCTGAGTTCAAGATCAAGGTCAATTCGATGTCAGGAAGTCGAAAGCAGAGACGAAGCAGGAAGATTGTATTACATACCAAGTCATCCATGAGGCAGCTGGTGTGGGCAGGAGAAAGAATAATCAAAATTTAAAATAACTAGGGAGCTTGCAGTTTTGTTTAATAGTAGTTTAATGTTTGAATGTATTATGTGTGTGTTGATTATTTGGGCTGGTTTGCTGATTTGTTTAGCAAACTCTTTTTTTTCAATTATACCTTTCAACCAAATATCTTTCCAGGAACCAAGAGATTTCCAACTAGTCTGTTTATGGGATCAGCTCTTCTTGCAAAGATGGAGGGAGTTGGCATTGGTCTCATCTTGCATTTATCAGCCCTAAAGTACATCCCAAGAAAGCACTGTTAAGAGGAAAGTCCCTGCTGCCTTTCTCCTCATGATTTATTCTGGAAGAACATGCAAGTTGGGAAATGACAGTCAGTTCCTCCTCAGTCCCAGTCTCCCTGATTAATTCTCTCTCCAGCTCATCCTCCATCCCCCTCAAGTCAGTCTCATTCCTATTTCCCAGCCTCTGAGCATATTCTCACCACTTCCCTTCTCTGGATATATCTGTTCTTCAGCTCCTGTCATTTCTCAGTGTCCAAAGCAAGCACAGCCTCCTCCTTCAGACCTTTTGAGGCATCTCTGGTCCTCACTCCGCTTTCAACATTTATCTTCTTGTTGGACTGGACGCATGGATCAGGAACATGGGAACCTCAGTTCTGAAACATTCACCAAGGTGTTTTAGCTTTAAAGACAGACAGACACACATGGCTATGTTTATGAACAGAGAGGAGTCTTGAGCAAGGGACATGACTTCTTCTATTGCCCCCACTTCTACCTTGCTCTGTACCTCTCTAAGGCCTGGATGGCACAGCTAGAAAGTGAAGGCTGGGCTGCTCAGGTGTTGCCCTTCACCTGTGCCAATATCTGGAAGGTCGGGGGGGAGGGGAACAAGGAGCTCTGTGAAGAAAGTAAGACTGGGAAAGGATAACTGTATTTGTTTGAATGCTTATGCTTAACCCCTGTTTGACCCACACAGAATTTCATAAAAAAGGAAAAAGAGCCAAGCAAAAATCCTGATTTTCATTTTCTTGGGCCAAGCCACACCAGTCTTAATTGCTGACTATGAAGGGCCAGACACAGCTGACGGGCCAGCCCCCGTCTAGGTCTCCAGCCAGACTCCCAGCTGGAATGAAAGCAGAAAGAAAGAAAGGAACAGGACTGCACAGACCCTTTTGAGTGGCCTTGTCACCTGCAGGTTTAGGCTGAGCCTCTTAAAGCCACCCACCCCAAGGTTTGTCTTCAGTCACTGTGGGTCATAATGAGCACAAAGCTGTGTTGCTCGGTGACAGCTGATGTCATCACTGTTCCCGAGACTGTGAAGGGAACAAGGGAATGGGGAAGGAACCAGCAGGACGCATATGACCAGGGCTCAGGCAGCTCCAGCCTCGCTTGACTCTCCTTTGACCATCGACTGCAGAGTCTTTGAAAGAGAACATAACACTGAGAACTTCTGCCTGGGTTGGAAATACCAGATTGGGGTATGTGGACTCAAGGAACCTGCATCTTTGGGATGTTGGAAAAGATCTGGTCCAGGGATGCGAGTATATAATTTATCCAAAGTCTGAGTTAGCTGGAGCCGCTCCTGGGTGAGAACGCTGGCAATAGTTAATAACCAGTGAAATCCCAGCGGAGGACACCATCTGCAGCCGAGCTGATGAATTCAACACGAAGCGGCAGTGGCAGGAGCTGGCGAGAACACTCTGCAAATGAAGCTGATGGGGCAGCGTGCTAAGGGAATAGACCTTCCTTGCTATAATTGCACCCCTCTCGCGGCCTTCCCCTCCAAGCCTGCACGGCTGTCACAGGTTAGGGAGCCAAGGACAGTGCAACGCAAGCTGAAGTCAGTGGATCTTCTCACGACACAGCTGAAAGTGAGGAAATAAACCCTGGGCCTGAAAAGCCTCAACCAGGGCTGAGGCCTGATTTTGCCTTGCAAAAGCTCTATGACTTTTATATAGCTACTTAACCTCTGGGGGCCTCATTTCCATTATTTCTGAAATTGGGGTGATAACACCTGCCTGGCAGGATTGTTGGGAGATTAACACAAGATAAGGTATGTGAAATAATCAAAGCAGTTTTCATTTCAAAAAGCAGAATTCCCATGTTGAGGCCAAATGAGGAATTTTGTTTTTGTTTATTTATTTCTTATTTTCTTATTTATATATATTTTACATCATTGTTCATTTTCATTTTTTTTTACTTGATTGAAGGCTTTATGGCACATAATAGGTAGGTTTTTTATAGTTGCTCTCAGCTTTTTTCACACTGACTTCCATTGTATTTGGGTGTTCTATGCCCGAGATTGCTCAGCTGCTGCTGTTGCCATTGGTTTGTTTTCTTTCAGGATCAAGGTGGGTACTTTCATATAAAATCTTATTTTTAATTCCTTCTCTGGCAATTCTTTCCTGGATTCTTTGTTTTGCATAGTTATACCTACAATGGAACCAGCATCCTAAAGTCACTAAGAAAAATCCTCCTACTCTAACATCACATGATCTTCTAATTTTACCTTTCCCTTCCCGGGCTTGCCCGGCTCCTGCTCGGCGGCCATGGGGCACCCATTGTTCATTTTTAAACAATGTTTGATTTTTTTTTTATCCCCACCCCCTCAGGTGTAGTCCTCATGGAATTTCCTTCACCAGTGCACCCGCGCACCATCACCACAGTCCCTTGTGCTTCTCCCTCCCTCCCTCCAATCCCTCTCCCTCCTCCTCCCTTGCAGGAGGTCTCTGATTCATAATTGTCTGTTTGTTTTTTCTTCTTTTGTTGTGTTTTGTACTGTTATTATTTTGTCCCCTGATGTCTTATTTGATTCTTCTATATTCCTCCTATCAGTGAAACCATTCGATATTTTTCTTTTTCCTTCTGAATTATTTTACTGAGCATAATTCCTTCATCTCAGTAACATCTTTAAAGACTCATCACCCAAAGCAAAGAAAGCTAAGGAAAAGATAAACAAACTGAAAACTACATCAAACTGAAAAAACTTCTGTACAGCAAAAGAGATATTAACCAAAACAAAGAGACACCCCCATTGACTGGGAAAAAATCTTGGCACTCCATACAACTGATAAAAGACTGATCACAAAGATATGCAAAGAACTCACACAACTCAATAAAAACAAAATAAACAATCCAGTCAAGAAATGGGCAGAAGAACTTAAAAGATCTTTCTCCAAAGGGGAAATGCAAATGGCCAACAGGCATATGAAAAAGTGTTCAACATCCCTTATAATCAGGGAAATGCAAATCAAAACCATAATGAGATACCATCTTACACCAGTAAGAATGGCACATATCAAATCTAGCAACAACAAATGTTAGCGAGAATGTGGTGAGAAAGGAACTCTCCTACATTGCTGGTGGGAATGCAAACTGGTCCAACCACTATGAAAAGCTGTCTGAAGATTCCTCAATCTAAAAATGGAGCTGCCATATGCCCCAGCAATTCCACTCCTAGGAATCTACCCAAAAGACATAAAAACATTGATTCAAAAGAATACTTGTACCCCTATTTTTATTACAGCACTATTTATAATAGGTAAAACCTGGCAACAACCCAAATGCCCCAAAACAGATGACTGGATCAAGAAGATGTGGCACATATACACAATGGAATACTATTCAGCAATCAAAAAAGATAAACTCGTGCCATTCGCAGCAACATGGATGGAGCTAGAAGGAATTATGCTCAGTGAAATAAGTCAAATGCGGAATTTTGCATATGGATGCTGGAGGCTCTCATGTAAGCTAACTGAAAGAAGGTAGCTTGGCCATGCCCAGGATCTCCTAGAGCCAGGGGCTTAAATGTGACTGGACTTTTCCTTTCTTCCTTCTGCTTGAAGATTTCATCTCTATTTCTGGAAACTCACTTTCTCTAGAAATCAAAAGCCAATGACAACTCTAGGCTTCCACATCCACAGTGCCAGTAGAGACTGCTGACTGATACCCAAAATTGCAGTGGACCCTTCTTCAGTCACATGACCAGCCCTGACCCAGTTAGCTGTGGCCGAAGTGACAAAGCCTATGAAAAATGGACGCTCTTTCAGGGACCCCATGGTGGGGCTGGGCAAGGAAAATGTCACAGCAGATGAAGCCGTGGTACCAGAAGGTGTGGGTGGACAGTGGACAGTCCACTCAGGGTTTTGTAAGTGATAAGAAGCACCTTGAACATATTGCATGCTGAGAAGCCTTTCCAAGCCCCGAGTGCCCATCAACAGATGCGTGTCAATCTCCATTTATTGGTCCTAAGAAAGATATACGCTCCCTGTCTATTTGGACACCTGCATTGCAGCAGTAGTTTTCTATGTGATGAGCTATAAATAGTCTGACACCAGTTTAATATTAATCCCCATAGAAAAGAACTAGGAAGAAATCTATACTTGGAAGGTCAATAAGTGTTTGGTCTGACACAATGAACAAGAACCAGAAAAGATTAGAGGTTTGTATTTAAATGGAAAGGAAATTAACTTGTTGATGGAATACACCCCTCTGTGGTTTGGACTGATAGTGAGAGTCCACAGTCTGAGTTAGTTAGCTCTGAAAACTTGATACCATGGTTTATAATCTGGTACTCTTGCTCCATTTCCAAGAGCTTGGCCCACCATAAAATAAATGGCCTGCCTTGCAAGTGGAGAAACAAGAGGGTGGGACCCCCTGCAGTGGTGGGGCTGCTGGGGAAGGGCATCCTTTAGGGATCTGAAGTTATCTCTTCCACAGTACAAAAAAAGGTTTTCATTGCTTCCCTCTAACTTTTCACCTGATAGAGGTTGATTTTCTCTGAGTTTGTAAAATGACTTCGAGGTTGGCCACCGTGATGGCCAGCATTGGTGACATTGTAGGTAGATCTCCTCTATTCTAACAAAAACTCCCCTAAAAATTAGGATTCAGTGTGATAAAACTTCAACCACACTTTTTTTTTTCTCTTCCTCCTACTCCTTCTCATTATTAATCATTAAGCAGCTGTAAGTGAATACCAGGAAATGAAAAATTGGTTGTGTTACAACCCCAATGAAAATTCTCTGTGTCCCTCTGGGGTTGACAGTGGCATCAGAAACAAACATCTGCTAATGGCTGAGAAAACACCCTGCTGGGAAAGTCACACACCTTGACACCTGTCACCAAGACTGCCCGGCACCAACTTGGACTTGGAAATGTGAAGTCCTGCACTCTGCTCATATTCCTTCACCCCTTAGACAATCACAGAACCTCCATCTTTTGGGGAGCCAGCTTTGCTATGGGGCTAGCCCGATTGCTGACTCCCTCGGTGGTCATCTGATACAATCTACACGTAGTCTCATGTTTCATAGTTTGGTTTTCTGGGCAGAAGCTAAAGACCCAGTTTGGCTGTTTGCAATACAAACCTGGCCACATCAACTTTTACCTATGTTTCCTCTGGCTTGTACTTGGCATTTGCTCACAATAAATCCTTGAATAATTGAATAATGGGAGGAGAGGAGAGGTAATCCTTAAAATGCTAATCCTTTCATTGTCAACATCTTATAGTCTTGGACATTACAACTGAGTAATTGCTACCAAAGGCCAACATTAGCTGAATTAAAATCCATAATTGTGCTAAAGCAATACTATTTATAGGTAGAAAACACCATGCACAAGCAATGCACATTTTTTAAGACCCTGGCTGAAGATGAAGAGTTGGGTGACAATACCTCAATAATGATGATTTGGTATATAGAGGAATTGATAGAACTTGGTTTTATCAAACACTGGACATTGCTTTGCCAAGCAAAACTCTGCAATTATGTCCATGCAATTCTTGCCCTTCATACTCAATTGAAAAAACATGGGATCAGTGACAAAGAAGGGCCTGTGTGAGGGGGACATTGACACTTGTTCAGCAGAAAGTGAACTAAGCAGGAAGGAGAATGTCAGGCACCTGTATCCCACCCACCTGGGCAAAAAAACTGTCCATAGGAGACAGTTTGGACTTCAATTGCATTAGGGGATTTTATGTGATCACTAGAAAACTTGAGAGACTTGGGCATGTGAGTACAGGGCAAGTCTGAGTGGGGCATCCAGCAGTATCTTAGAGGAAGCAGTTGCTCTGGCTTGGCTAGTAGAACAGACAGCTTGGAGTTTAGAATAAGGCATCAAGCAATGAGAGAGCAAGAGATGACGCTACCACAGCTCGAGGAGGGAGAAGCCCACAGAGCCCTTGAAAGGTTCTCTGGAACCTAAAAGTCCATGGACTGGGCTGGGGGCTCTAATTCTGGCTC